CCTCTCGAACTGGGCTGCGTTGAAAGGTTCAGGTGCCATTTGCAATGTCTCCTTTGCAAAATCTCTTGGGAAGCCACCCCTGTCAAAATTGTGCCTTTCTTCTTCCTACCCAGCACTTTGTATCGATGTCTGTTCAAGTAGAGGAAGAGGCTGGCTGTTAATCCCGGCATGGGCCAGAGCGTAACCTTTCAGTTTTGCATCCAAAAAGCAACATAAACTGTATTGCATTACTGTTGCCTGAATTGGCCTCTTTTGAAGTCCCTCTGGCTCAGAGTCCCCCAGTCTCGGTCCAGAACGGAAGCTGCTTTCCACCCGGTCCCATCCTGTCCTGTTTTTATTTAATGGCCATTTTCAAAGCTGCAGGTCTGTTTTGCCTCTGTCTGTTTTGTGCCAACTATCCTTGCCTTCTTGCCTAGGTCAAAAGTAGCAACTCATAGCTGTGTGCAACCCACAGCATGCTGTTTGTGGACCCCAGAATGAGTGGGGCTCAAATTTTCAGACTTTTAGGAACGGTCAATTGTTCCTGTTTGGGATGGGGATTTTAGAAGCAAACCCACATGCCTTAATTTTGTCCCTTAAGGCTCACCAAAAATAGAGCTGGTCTGAAAATTTCAACCCTGTCCACCCTGGTGAGAACAAAACATCCCTGGCCGCATCCTTCGTGGTGGGAAAAAAGACTGACCACCTCTAGTGGGGAAGCTGAGAGCACAACTAGTTAAGAGGCACAGAATAGGCACAATCAGGCAATGATGGTTTGCAAGTACAGGGGTTCGCCTAGTTTTGCCTAATGGTACAAGGTTACATAGGGCAACTGTACATACTTGGAATTGCAAGCTTTCGCCATGGCCAGTCTTTCAGCTGCTGCTGTTCTGGGCAGGTCTAAGCCCCAGTGCTGCCTTCGTTTATTAATATGTCATAATCCTATTTAAATGTGGGTTTAACTCCCCCCACCCTTTATTATAGTTAGCTGCTTAGGTGTCATTCATTGGTGGAAAGCCCAGGTATAAATTTAATAAATGTTGAGCTTCCCAGAAGGTTCAGATTACCTTGTACTAAAGGCTATGCATTTTGTTTTTCCAGAGTCAATTAATGATGTGACCTTCGGAGCTGGAGTCAGCCATATTAGCCTCACCCTCACACCTTCTTCTGTTCGAGGCATGTGGATTCCTGTTTCCTTACTATATTTTTTGGAAAACGAAACATGGAAGAGGCAACCCCGCTAATACCTCTTCTGTTCCTTCTGCAGTCAAACAGGAATCAGAGGCTTCCCAGAGGCAGATCGTTTGCTTGGCATCACCAGATAAGCCGTGAGTGTAACTGATATGTGGACTACAACTATCCCGCAAGTCAGTGTTTCTCAACCGTGGCAACTTTAAGCTATGTGGACTTCAATTCCCAGAATTCCCCAGCCAGCCACGCTGGGGGAGTTGAAGTCCACATAGCTTAACCTTGCCAAGGTTGAGAAACACTGCTGTAACCTGTACATGTCTTTTTGTCCTGCCCTTCTTCCACCATGATCAGGATGATCTAAGGGTGGCTAATTTAAGCGACATTTACCTAAATTTATTCCGGCACCTTGAGCACTACCCTACACCAGCTTTCAGCGCAACATAGTCCACAAATGAATGTGCTATTCCAGATGTCATTGGCAGAAGGGATACTGTTGAAGATGGCAGCGCCCGTGCTGAGAGTTGGAGAGTCCCATTCATGAAAGAGAAATAATGCCTCAACCATTCTGACGAAGCCGAGAGATTAATGGAATGCTTTCCAAACCACTTTACATCTCAAAGCCGGGTTATGTTTTGAAGACTTGCATAATGGATTTTTATCGCTGCAGCTGTCACATCTCAAGCGCCCCCCTTAAAAATATATATAAAAAAGCTTTCCCATACATAAGAAGATCAAACTGTGAGAAGAATAATCTGAGAGGTTTCTCCTTTGAATGCTAATTTTTCTGGGGTTGGGCAAACCTTTGCCTCACCCAACTGATAGGTTAAAATAGAAACATCTCAACAGCATTCCCAAAGCGTGGAATGTTTCTTCTTAACATTACCTCTAAAGGGAGCAGAATGGTAGATGTGAACTCAGCTTCTTAATCTTTAAGAAACCTACTAGATTACAAGCAGGCACTAGCTATACAAATATTGTTCTTTGCACACAGACATCTGTGGTCCTTAAATAAACAGAACCATCCACATATGGAAGAGCCCTTTTGGAACCCAGAGCAGTTTTGAAGCATGCTCAGTAAAAATAAAGAGTTCTTTTAAATAATAAACCAAGAAGCCTCCCTCTACCTCTGAATTCTTGTTGCTCCAATTTTATGCAGGTTTTGGCCCTGCAGTAATCTTATGCCCCTAGTTTTAGAGTACAGTCGATCTCTGCTGGTTCCCTGGGACTCTGTTGGGGGTTTTGTTTGTTTTTTTGTGTTTTACTCGTTTTCTGCATTATCTTGTAGAATGTCCCAGCCTCCACAGTGGAAGGTGAATTCTCCAGGAAGGGGAAGCAGTCCATCAAGTATAAGGCTGAGGAGATCCAGCCGTAGAACTCCACGACAACCAACAAAATGAATGTTTTGGTCCAAGCAAGACTGCATCTTGTGTAGAAGCAGAATCATGTTTATAGCTTACGCTCCACACCATCAGACCCTTTTGGAAGATCACTGATTAATGCCTCCTAACTCTATTTTTATTCTTGCTATGTCAAGCTTGCTTGCTTTTATAATTGGTGTACTGTAAATATTCTATTTGGGACTGCAAGTAGAAGTAACTAATTACCGTATAGATAGAGCAGTGCCCTATAGTTTGTTTGATACATGGATGCCATCTGGAGTAATTGTATTGATTGAGGTCAATGAAGCTATAGGTCTGTGTCTTGCTCTATTGACATGTAGCATGATGTTCTAACTCTTCTCTAATGCAGCCAACACCTAGCACTTAAGCTTAATTTACATCCTTGCTTTGTGTCTGTTGAGATATAGTGGTTGTAAGGTCATATGGAAGAAGACAAAGTTCCATAGATCAGTGTGTTAGGTCTAGGCCAGACCATGCAAACATGGGAATAAGCTTGGGGAAGATTTTCCTGGAAGAACTGCGTGTAGAAATTTCACGCTGTGGTTAGATGCCCCTATAATTCCTCCCCATGAAAATGAGCACACAGCCAAAAAAGAGTGTCCTTGGAACTGGATCCATATTTTCTCCTGTAGAAAAAAGAAAGGCTGGGTATGCCTGTAGCAACACTGTCCACAGACAAAGCCTTTGAAGAATGGAATCAAAAAGATTTCCAGGAGAAAAGTTCTTGGAAAGAGAGCTTAGCCTAAACCATCATCACATGGGAAGGACTATGTGAATATATAGCCCAGGTGTGAGGATTATTTATTATGTTCATACCATGTTCTTAACTCTACTATATGCAGAATAAATACTTTTATCAATTCTAAATGCCACCACTTGCTTTGAGTCAAAATCTCATGGCTTTCTCTTGCTTTTATCTGTTCAGTCTTTGGTTTATCTTATTGGTAAGGAGCACACTGTCCAGTGCCAACTGCTTGTCTAATGACACCAATGCATTTGTGAGAATCTGGCTTTAGAAATGTTTCCAGTTAGGTTTTGTTTGGGGGGGAGGGAGGGGGGATCCCAGAAGTTGAGTTGTGTGGTGGTCCAAGCCATGTTTTTGGATGGAGATCGAAGCACTCTATGTAAATGTTAGATTAAAGCACATATAATCTCCAGTTAGAAGAATTATAGGGGAAATCATAGTATGGAAAGCTAGAACAGAGTTCTCTAGTCCAGGATTACGAAGACTGCACCAAGTCTTTCATCCTTTGCAGGTTTTCAGCTTGTTGGTTCTTTGGAGTTCTGCAGGGAGATCTTTTAAGTAGAAACCATTTTATAGGCTCTTTAGGATTAATCCTTCTTTCAGGAGCATCATGTTAAGCTCCCTGGTGTCACCAATTATATTCTGCTTTGCATGCAGTTAAATTGGAATTAGGCCAGCATTTCATTTCTGGCAGCAATTATTTAAGGCTAAAGTCTCAAAAGCCATGACTAGGATGTACTGATAGTCCTTGACTTATGGTCAGAATTGAGACCAGAACTTCTGTCGCTAAGTGATGCAGTTAAGTGAGTCGTGCCCAATTTTACAACCTTTTTTGCCGTGGTTGTTAAGTGAATCACTACAGTCATTAACCCGATCACATGATTGTTAAGCAAATCTTGCTTCCCCTATTGACTTTGCTTGTTGGAAGCCCCCTGGGAAGGTCACAAATGATCATTACCCCAGGATGCTGCAACCATCGTAAATAGATGCCGATTGCCAAGTGCCCAAATTTTTGATCGTGGGGACACTGTGATGGTCATAAATGGGAGGAATAGTAACAAGTCACTTTTTTCAACACCACTGTAACTTTGAACAGCCATTAAACGAATGGTCGTAAGTCAAGGACTACCTGTAGTGTTGTTTTTTTTCTTTTTCATCTTGACATGTATCATACATTTACAGTAGTAAAATTCTGAAACCATCATAGCCTCTTGGAAGCCAATCCACCTTTTCCAAGTCTCTGTGGAGCATCTGGGTATGTGAACTATGACTTGGAAAAAATAATTGCTTTACTCAAGGACCATCTTCTTTCACTGAAGAGGAGCATTGACCTGGTTGACAAATACGTGCAAGGGAAAACGTCTTTTATCAGTAATCCAGTTATGCTTATTAACATACAGCCTGAAAACTTCTGGTGATTGCCCCGTTTTCCCTCTACTTTTCAAAAGAACAGTTTAAAAGAACTGAAGCTTTTTGACACTGACTTGTCGTAAGAGCCACAGAAGATTTGGTGGTGATTTCTTGGGTTTGATAGATTTACCCTTTGTTGAGCCTTCACTGGTGAAAGATGATCATACAGAGGTTGGAGAAATGTTATCTTCCATCCATGTGGCTAGAATTTATTGTTTAAAGGAAAGGGAGCAAACTGCTGTCACAACTGCACATACTTTAACTGATCAAATGTCTCAATTTTCAGTTTAGGTTTTATTTTGAGGGCTTAGCTGTCTGGAGGTGGTTCTTAAATCTTTTCTTCCCTTTTTAAAACAATACAACTAGGCACAAAAAAAGAAAAAAAGCCATTATCAGCCATACTGCTACTTATGAGGGCACATAATATCCTTCGCACATTTCACCCCAAACTCTCAACAATGTCTCCCTTGCACTGTAGCTTCATCAGTTGGTAACTTGCAACCAAGATCCATTCCTTTTTTATCCATCCACATATACCCATACTGTACATTGTCCATCACATATTGTCCATCATATCACTAGAAGGCAGGACAAGGCACATGAAGATACACCAGAACAAGCATCCACCTAGACCCCATTTGCTGATGGAAGCAACGACCAAGTGAAATAGACCCAAGGACTAGATGCCTTCCAAGTTTCTTATGTGATGGTCACTTGGAGGTACACCTCTACTAATCAGAGGTTGCAGTCCTTGAATTTTAGCTTCCCCATAGCACACACTCAAAACCGGACACCAGGATAGAAATGGAAATGAACTTGTGTGTGCTTTTTCCTTTGATGTGTGTGCCAATTTGGCCTAAGAAGCTAGTGAGGTCTGGTTCTCATCCCATAAGGATTGTGAGTAAATACTTGATCGTTCTTAACTACTGTCCAGGAGCTTGTGCTAAAGACGAGAATGTAACTACTAGGCAACTGCAGGAGTAATTGAACTTCATCCATGCACAACCAAAGCCTGTAGTACTTTATAATCTGCTGTCCCCCATGCAGGGGTCCTTACCACCACCGTCACCACAAAGACTGTCCAGAACAACAATTTTATATATAGATAGATAGATTTATATTTATGTAAAACATTCTCAGCAAAGTTAAATGCAATACATTAGTACAAACCGATCAAGTATTTACAATGTGTTTTGTGGAGACCTATTTGTTAAAAGAGATTCCACTGGTGCATTTTTGAGACCCAAAAAGATGATAATTCTTTGGAGGCAAGGTTTCTAACTAGAAGAAGAGAACTGCTTTTTAAGAAGTGACTCTAAGCGTTTGGGTCTGTTACAAATTTAACCAGGATTAATTGACCTGACTTCAGTGGAAGAAATTTTAATTGACTCATCCCTTGCCACTAATAGTCCTTTCTAGGATCTGAAATTCATTACTCCTTTTTCATTAAAGTAACAAATATATTAATGAGCCATGCCAACTCTGGCACAGATTGAGTGTTTGAATAACAGATTGCACTACCTTAAATCACCAACCTGTTTAGGTTCCTCTGGTAAATGAAAAACCTCTCCAGGTAATGAACCGGCACTTCAAACCTTGAAGAATTTTCCCCATAGGTACTAAATTATTATATGCCAAGCAGCGCCCATGCACTTCACTGCCAAACAATCTTGATTGACAACTCCCAGCCCATCTCACCATTGGCCTTGCTCACTAGGACTGCTAGGAACTGTGGCTCATCAGCAATAGATAACTCATCTAACGTATTCTCCCATTCTATCCTATTCGGCATTGGGTAGAACTCAGACTGGAGAGTTGAACAGGGTCACTTCCAGGCAAAAAGGGAAGATCACACTGTGGCGTGAGTGGCTCCAAAGGAATGGGGCTGACCTACTCATCTTCAGCCTGGCCCAAAACAGCACGCCCAGAGTTCCTACTCCTGCTGTTCACTGTACCTCCCAAAGCCTTTAACCTGCTATCTAATATTAAACACTCACAGTTTTCCGAAGGGGATGGACCATCTATTAGATTTGGTCTCCTTGGACTTCTAACCTGCCCTGGTTGCAAACCATACCTATTAATCCAGGTTAGGTGTGTAACAGCATAGACGTTACTCGAAGGCAAGAGATCTTTTGTTCTCAACTAAATATTCAAGGCTTTTCTTCTCGCTTTTGGGTGTCAGAGAGGCAGCCTCGGAAAGGGTTAGTGAATATAGTAAGGCAGAAGGAAAGCCATTTTGATCCAGAAGGCAACCCTATTCTATCATAAATAAAGTTGACAGGGAGAAAAACATTTTGGCAGTGGATAAAAACTTTACTTTGGTCAAATGCCGAGGTAGCCATGGTTAAAATCAAAACAAGATGGCAGGGTTGGGGCACATGGTTACAGCTCCCACCCCCCTTAAATTTAGCGCCACTTCACCCTGAAAGGACAGGAATCAAAGCTCTTGGATAGAAATAAAACACACCAATGACCTCTCTTCTCAACTTCCTTAAAAAAAGAGAAACCAAGCCAATCCAATGGGTTGGATGTTCTAAGGCAGATTAATACAGAAGACCAACAAATCCAATACTAGGAGTCCCACGTCCTCTTAGGTAATAAAAAATACTGTCCATGTCCAGAATTAAGACTATGAACTTGGAGGCTGAAACAAACATCCCTAAACATATACCATGTTTTTGGAAAGAAAAGCCACTTCTTCCATCACAGCAAATTATTTTATCTTTGCTGTGTCTCTTACATAGAAGGGCACAGCTGCTGCCACAGGAAGAGCCAGGAGTTGCTTGCTGATAGTCAGATCAGTTGGAAGCTCCCGCCGTTAACTTGAATGGAAAAATTAGAGAGAAAGAGAGAGAGGACTGTGGATTTAATTTATGCTCCGTTCTCTTTTCTTTCTCTTTTTCTTTCATGGACAAGAGAAGTGTTTTCCTGAACTGTAAGTGGGATGGTCTAAAAAGATGATGTGGAAGAGCAGACTCCCCTCCATTTTTCACCAGCTAAGCTGCAGAGCTTCGTTTGACAACCACTGTACATTTTCACCCTTCCCAAAGGGCACATCCAAGCTTTAGAACTCAATGACTCTTGCACCCCAGAAAAGATCTGGGAGTTTCTCTTTTGAGCATCTTGTCGCATCACAAACTCCCTTCCACTTAGAAAGTAATTTGCCGCAACGTATCAGAGGGCTTCCCTTTGTGTTCCTGCTACGAGATGGACAAGTCTTTCAACCCTGCCCATATTTTTCTGCAGGGAGAAGATAAATCTTAAATCACTTTCCCCATCAAAGGAGGAGGTGTTTTGTCAGTGCTCTTTTGCAATGCTGAGAGTTCTGTACTTTTGGTTAATACTGATATGGTTTGAATCAGTACTGGAAAGCATGAATAGAAAGAAACCCCTGTAAAGTTACTACATTATTACAATTAACACCGTTTGGCCTACCAAACTATTTACATTTTAAATTAAAAAAAAAAACCAATGACTTTTTTAAAAAAAGTAATCAAAATATATCTTTGCCAAAAAAAAAAAAAATTAGACTGCAGAATTCTACAAACGAAAGAATAGGAACAGTAGAAAAATTCTGTCTTCGGTCCTAGGTACCACCTCAAGAAGTCAGAGGGTTTGACTTTTTGTTGCTGTTGTTGCTTAGCTACCCAAAGAGATGTTTGGCATGCAGAGGTTGGCATGGGGAAGGGCATCCAATGAGCAAGACTGCATGAAGCAGATGAGGGGGTAGATGCTTGGAGTGCAGAAGGATGTTCTGATGCTACTTTGGTGTAATAGTATAAGAGGCAACCCTGCAACCTGGAATGGCATAGAAGTGATCCCTGGAGATTTTCTGGAAATGACTTTCCAGAATCATTTTCTCCAGCCAAAGGTTGAAGAGATGCTCTCCTTGCCACCTGGAGAGACGGCGGTGTCCGCAACGGTTGCTTCTAGGGTGGAAGATGGCAGTTTGGCAGTTAAAAACGGGGGGTTGACTTTGGCAACAACAAAAGAGTGAAAAAAAAAAATCAGGCAGGTGCACATGTGTGCCTGTAAATGGTTTAGAAAGGAGTAAAAAAGAACACATCCACACACACGCCAGTTATCGCCTCTTGCGCAAGGAGTTGGAGAAGGTTTTCCGCACTCCGCTCTCGCCGCTGAGCAAAATCCAAATGTCTCTGCTGTTTCATATCACAAAGGAGGACTTGTGTCTAAAGTCACCCTGGAGCGAAGACACAGATCAGCTTGTTAAGGGTGTGCGTTTGTGTGTACCTCCCTCTTTCGCTTGGCCCAAATAAAGCCAAACTCTTTTCTGGAATGAAAGGGGGGTTCAGGAGCTGTCGCCCAACAACTTCCAGCAGACGCGGCTCACTTGGCCAATGGCCAAGGAGGCAGGGAGTTCAATTTCTCTGGCCTCTGGAGGGCCCATAAATACCTTTTGCAAACTCTGCCGGGTTGGCATATTGAACTAACCCCTGATGTAGCTGGTTTGATTTTAGCTTAGTGTATTGGGTGAACCCAAATGCCATATTTTGTCAATTGTAAGGAATCAGTCTAGCCTCTTCTTGTTTGCTGGGGTAACCATGGTTAAGCAAGCCAAGCCGTAGCCCAATGTTTGAACCCAGCCACAGCCTCTGCCCTGGTTCCTCCCTTGGGCATTCCTAGGTTCTCCTTCCCTTGGACTCCGAATGGAAGTGGTGTCGACCAGCACTGGGTGGGAATGGCGGGCCCTTCATGAATCTTTCTGGAAAAGCTGCATCCTTAGTTAGGCTGAGCGATGCTTTGGATCCGATTCCAGAAAGGTATTTTGGAGCATGCAGGGGCATGAATTTAGCAACTGCCTGCCACTCATTAAAGCAACTGCATCCCCTGCATCTTTTCCTGAGAATTAAAGACAAGTCCTTCTGCAGAAACACACACACAAGCACAGCATGCTCCGAAGCACCTTTGGGGAACAAAATCCAAAATCCTACACAACATTTACCCCCAAAGCAATGAAGCTGTAACCATCTGGTAGTGTTGAGCTCTGGCATAGCTCTTTATCTATTTTATTTTCCTGGGAGGGGGTGGGGAAGATAGTCATTGTTGTGAATGCATCCATTGTCCTTTGCTCTAATGAGACCCCTTACCTCCTCATCTGTGTGAATATAGTTCACGCCATCCGGCTTTGTTGGAGTCTTGTAGCTGGGAAGGGAAGGCATCGTTTAGTTGGAGCACATCAGCAAAAGAGAGTGTCTGTGTCTCCTCCTTAGAGATACAGACTCTTTGTGTTCTTGTCTACTCACAGATATAGACTCACAGTGACCTCTTGTCTCCCCAACTGCTTCTCTGCACTATGTCCTGCCCCCCAGGGCTTAAAATATAGCCTGCCCTTTGCAGATCTGCACCTACAACAGCTTTACCATGGTGGGGGGAGAATAACTCTTTGGGGTTTAAGAAGGCATGGTTCCCCCTCTTCTAATAAGGATCTGGTGATCTAAATGGTTCCTTCCAACTTTGATTCTATTGTGTCAAAATTAATTACAATAGGCCCTTGATTTAATGGACTAAGGGGGAAAGGGGATCAATTGGAGCCAAACATGAGTCTACACGTGTGTAAAATATACATAATCGAGGTGAAACACACATCCAATATATATATCCAATATGTAAAAGGCATTAAAATGTGTATCAATGTACCTAAAATGCACAAAGGACATCCAGATGAACTTGCCAAACAACCGACCTTGTCCGCTGTTTGGGACAAAGTTCAGGATTGCCTAAATTTCAGATTTGGTCTGCTACATCCAAGAGCTACTGAACTGAGGTCTGTAAAATCAAGGGTTTCCTGCAGATGATTTTGGGGGCTCTTCTGTGCTGACTTTCTAAAGTTAAAGAGACAGTCACCTGGAGACAGCCAAATTGGAATTCCCTGCAGTTCCAGTTTTGCAGAGAGCATGGAAGACCTCAGAAAGCCACCAGCTCCAAAGCTTGAGTCAGCTGAATCACTTAAAACAGAAGGGTTATCGCTCTTCGCTGCTAATGGCATCGTCTTCCTCTTCCTGAAGTGTTATTTCCGGTTATGGCTAATTCTGAAGCCATCTGCTGCCTTGCGTTTGCTACTTAAGGCTGACGGTCCAAGGGACAAGTCTCATTTTCCTTCATCCAGCAAATACAATGAAAGAGAAAGTCCAGTGCATCCAGATTGCTTGCCCAATGACAGTAAATTCAGCTTTTTTTTTTTCCTTTTGC